TGCGCTGCCCTGAGTTGCAAATGAAGCGCTCCTCCCACAGTGTTGCCAGCTTAGCGACTTTGAAGCTATTTCCAACAGCTTTTCAGACCCCCTTCTTGACTTTTTAAATCTTAAAAGTACCTAGCGAACACCTCAGAAACATCTCTGGTAACCCTTAGCTACTTTCTGAATAACGGTCGTCGACATTTCCTGAAGGTTAGCTAAACACTCCGCCTGCGCTCCGGACCGTTCTTCAGGACATTAGGAAAGGGAATGATGTAGTGATGTGTCGGTCGCTACAGAAACGGCTCTCGGAGCCGGCTTCTTGTTGGAGTAACCAGAGTGAGTGACACACACACCGTACCTGCAGGCTCCTGAGCCACTAAAAACGGCTAAATGTGCGCGTGCGGCGTGCTAAACATACATGCAGCTTGCCCCCGATTGCTGTGAGACCGGGTTGGGGGGGTGGGGGTGCAGCTGTGGTTGGGACAATTATTACATTAAATGATGGACTTGTAAATAAATAGTTTATAAATAAGGTAGAAATAACTTTCTCACGCTGATAAATAATAACTAATCTCTCTGAGGACACGGTGCTAGTGCACTCTCCTACAGCACCTTGACACGACTCAATAAATGTTATGCAACATTCTGTGAACATCAATTTATTTACATTTATTTGTTATAAATGCCACTGTATAATTCTTGCTGTCAGTATTTGCAAGATATTGGTATTTGGGTCTGTACTGGTTAGACTTACATGAGTTAAACCAAGGTCTATAGCCCTTGGGTCATAAACTATGAGCTATAAGTATATTGGTCTTTTTATACTGGGAATCAGGAGTTATTTTAGTGATCATCTTGTTTCTTATTTAATTTTGTCCTGATTGTGCCCTGAGCAATTTTTTGACTGAATAAAAACAAATAAAATCAACATAAATTGAAAAATCGTCTTAAATAATCGAGATCTCAATTTCAGTCACAAAAATCGTGATTATTGTTTTTGCCATAATCGAGCAGCCCTACACTGGAGTACAGGTCTGATCCTGCAAAGAGAAATGTGACTGGTAGACGTTCACAAGCGTGCAAATTTTAAATAAAGCTGCAAAACCCATGCACACAAGTGATGTCACTTAAGAGCTAATCAGGTGCCAGTCACAACCCTGAGACTGTAACACACCTGACGGCACTTGAAGCTCAAAACAAGAGTGAACGAGAGAATATTTCAGGAGATCCTGGCACATTTTTGAGGACTGCTAAACGCATGTTGTCGCGTGTGTGGCTCCTTCCGTGGATGCATGATTCTCTTAAGTTGTAGTAAAGGTGACTAAATAAAGCATCAATTGGTATAATTAGAGCGGAGACGTTAAAAATTTAAATGTTAACGTAAAGGAAAGAAAACTAAGTGTTTGAAAGCAAGTCCTGATGGACAGAGAAGCCTGTTGCCGTCTGAGTAAATAAAGCTCAGCCACTGCAGCTCCTGTTAGTGTTTTCTCACACCGGCGTACAGCTGTTTGCAGGTTCTTTATCCGAACACAATAACCTCACAACTCAACCATGGAACACCTCATGTTACGCTGCACAAAGGAAAGCAGCTCTTGTGCCGGAGCCAGGCTGTTCAGGTCCACTAAAAAGGATTTCTACAGAAAAAATATCCGATCAAGTTTTTTTTTATCATCACTGGGGACAATGGAAAACATGTTTGTGTGCCTAAAAACGGTGTGCAAATTCTATTTAGCTGAATTAATTTAATGTACACAGGAAGAAAGGCAGAGAGTGAGGTCAGCTTTTCAGAAAGAGTGAGGCTGAAAACAGACAGGTTGAGTTGGACGTTAAAGATGCACCAAACAGCAAATCAGGTGGCGATTAGAGTCAACTGATATTCTGCTTAATGAGGGATTGGTCCATTTGAAACCATCCATCGTATTCTGCTTATCTGGGGTCGGGTCGTGCGGGAAGTAGCCTAAGCAGAGAGGCCCAGACTTCCCTCTCCTCAGACACTTGGGCCAGCTCCTCCAGGGGAATCCTAAGGCGTTCCCTGGCCAGCCGAGAAACATAGTCCCTCCAGCGTGTCTTGGGTTTTCCTTTAGGTCTCTTCCTGGTTGGACATGCCCAGAAAACCTCACCAGGGGAGGTATCCTAACCAAATGCCCAAACCACCTCAACTGGCTCCTCTTGATGTGACGAATCTACTCCGAGCCCCTCCCGGATGGCTAAGCTTCCCACCCTATCTCCAAGGGAGAGCCCAGACACCCTGTGGAGAAAACTCCATTTGGCCGCTTGTTTCTGCGATCTCGTTCTTTCGGCCACTACCCAAAGCTCGTGACCAAGGTGAGGGTTGGAACATAAGAGCGGCTCGGCGCTCTCTTCACCACGACAAACCGGTACAACTATAGATGCAGCACCAATCCACGTATTAAGCTTGCACTCAGTTTTTTTCCCCGTTCTTGAACATGATCTTGAAATACTTGGATTTTAAAGAGATGATTCTCATCCCAGCTGCCTCACACTCAACTGCAAACCGCTCCAGCGAAAACTGGAGATAACGGTCTGAGGATGCCAACAGGACCACATCATCTGCAAAAAGCAGAGACCTGATCCTTAGGCCACCAAAACAGATCCCCTTAACACCTTGGCTACACCTAGAAATCCTGTTTATAATAGTTATGAATAGAATATGTGACAAAGGGCAGCCATGGCAGAGTCTAAGTTTCACTGGGATAGAGCCCGACTTACTGCCGAC